GTCTCACTTTGTATCCCCGGCTGGTCTGGAATTCACTATGCAGACCCAGGTGACTTTGAACTCACAGAGATCGGTCTGTCTCTGCCTCGTGAGTGCTGGGATTAAGCGTGTGTGCCACTCTGCCTGACTGGTATTTTCTTGACTAACAACTGATGCGGGAGGGCCCAGCCACTGAGGGCAGTGCCACGCCTGGTCAGGTGGTCCTGGGAGGTATGAGAAATTGGGCTGAATGCGAGCCTGAGGAGCAAGTCAGTGAGCAGTGTTCCTCCAGGGTTCTGTTCCTGCCCCCAGGTTTCTTCCCTGACTTCCCTCAGGGATGGGCTGTAAGATGAAATAAAACTTTCCTCCCCAAGTTGCTTTTGGTCATGGTGTTTATTACAGCAACAACAACAACAAAAAAAAAAACCTAAGTAAGGGGGCTGAATAGAGGGCTCAGCAATTAACAGCACCGACTGCTTTTCCAGAGGACTCAGGTTCAGTTCCCAGCACCCACATGATAGCTCACAACTGTCTGTAATTCCAAGATCTGACACACAGACATTCATGCAGGCAAAACACCAATGCACATAAAACAAACAAACAAACAAACAAACAAACAAATAAAAGCTAAGTAAGACAGTCAGCCAAAGCCAATGATCGACAGGGGAGAAAATAGTAAGTTAACTGATATGAGTCCAAGCAATAGTGATTTCTTAGGGAATTTCAGACACCATCCACCTCCCCCAGCCCAGGCAAAAGGAAACAAGGTTCTCTGAGTCACCCAGAAAACAAGCTACCACCTACAGGTGGACAGAATCTTCTGTTTTTCAGACAGGGTCTCTGTAGCCCAGGCTGACCTTGAACTCAGATGTAGCTGAGGATGACCTAGAATTCCTGATCCTTTTGTCTCTACCTCCCGAGTGTTAAGTTCACAGCTGTCCCCCAGGATGGCTTAGCATCTTCTGTCTCTGCCTGCCTGTCTGTCTGTCTGTCTGATCCAGGGAATGGAACTATAGCTGTGGGCACACTAGGCAAGTGCTGTCCTGCCGAACTTACACCTTCAGCCCACTCTCTCCTAGAATGAAGATATACCATCATTTTCCCTAAATATTTCTAGAACCCCACATTCTCTGGCTCATGAACAGTAGAGCGCCCAAACAGCACCTTCTTTTCCAAGTAGGAGTACTCACCTGTCCATCTCGGAATTCGCTCTCCGTCCCGAAAGAGCAAGGTTTTTCATTCATGACCCCAGATCACTGGTTCCGATGAGCCTTGTCCTCGGGCTCTGGAAGGGTATGATACGATGGTCTGAGGTCCAAAGCTACCAGGAGAGCCGCAGGCCCAAGTGCTCTCTCTATCTTCGCCTTCCTTTTTGGCAGTCATTCAGGTTACAAGTAAGAAAACAGTCCCTTTGTGCCATCACCAAGGTGCAGGATTCTGTGAGTCTTGAAAGGAGCCCCTGGGGACCGTGAAGCCTCACTCTGGAAAAACAGAGATGGGGGGAGGGTGGGAGAAGAAAAAACTGGCTTCATCAGTTACGCCTCTATTCGAGGGGGAAAGGACTTTAAAAATCTTCCATCAACTGTGAATCTATTCTAAATAAACAAGATGCTTAGCCAGATGTCTACTGTTTACTGCCCATACCACAGGATCGGATGGGCCATACAGGGTACTGGGGAGCAGGGGTGGACTGTCAGTGTCTATTCTAAGTAGTGGGGTCTGTTTCTGGCCATGATGTCACTGAGACCTAGCTGGCTTATAGGGGTGAGGCTAAGTGGTGGTTGCACTTTACTGAAGAGCTCTGGCTTTGTTCAGATCTTAGACACAGGTGGAGCTCTGAGGCTTATGATGCTGAACCTGCTTCCTAGAGTGATAGAAAAACTCAAAATGCATGATATCCTAAACTTGCCAAACCAAAATGGTCAACTCTCTGTGTGTGAGTCTGTGTGTGTGTGTACGTGTGTGTAGTTGTGGCGCTGGGGATCAAATTTAGGTCTTCATACATGTTAGGTGAATGTTCTACCACTGAGCTACATCTCCAGCTCAACTTATGTGTGTGCACACACATGCATGTTCCTGTGTGTGTGTAGGTGTACATCTGTTTGTGTGAGAGTTAAGAGGACAACCTCAGCTGTTGTTCCTCAGGGTCCTGTCACCTTAGTTTTTTGAGACAGGATCTCTCATTTGCCTGGAACCCAATGAGCAGGCTGGGCTCGCCGGCCAATGAGCTTTAGAGATCTGCCTGTCTCCACTGTTCTAATGCTTGGATTACAAGTATGTGCTCCCACACTACCACACCCAATCAAAAAGATATTATTTTTATTCATGTGGATGTGTGTGTGTGTGTCTGCCATGTATGTACAGATGTCCTGTACATGTATGTTAGATCCCCTGGAGCTGGAGTTACAGATTGTTGTAAGCTGCCATGTAGGTGCTGAGAGCCAAATCCTGTTCCTCTGCAAGGGCAACAAATGTTCTTAACTGATGAGCCCTCCCCACCTCTGAGATAGGGATATAGATACACAGAACAGGATACAGATGTAGTTCAGTCTGGCCTCATATTTGCTATGTAGCTGAGGCCTGCTTCTGCTTCTCAAGGGCTGGGACACAACGCTGTGGAAAAGCTCAGAAGTCTAGCCCTACTCTCATGTCTGCCTCAGGACTAGGGCGGGGCAAAGATCATATCTTAATCATGAGGGAACTAGACATCATGGATGCCTACCACATCAGATGTTTGTGTCAAGCAGAGACAGTCTTCTCATGGACAAGAGTTTCCAAGATCTTAGTCGCAGGGATTGATGTGTGGGGCTCAAGATAAAACCATGATGCCTGGGATATAGATCAGAAGTAAAGCTATTGCTTATCATGTGTGAGGTCCTGGGTCCAACTCCCAACACTGAAGAAAAGAAAAGAAAAGAAAAAAGGAAAGAAAAGAAAAGAAAAGAAAAGAAAAGAAAAGAAAAGAAAAGAAAAGAAAAGAAAAGAGAAAGCAAGCAGGAAAAAGAAGATCAGAGATCATTCTCAATATGGTAGTGTATGCCCCTGGAGGCAGAGGCAGGAGGATCACTGTAAGTTTGAGGGCAGCCTGATCTACCTAGAGTTCCAGGCCAGCTGAGGCTACATAGCAAGACTTTGTCTCAATAAAAAACAAAATAAGGGCAGGTGAAGTGTCTCAGTAGGTAGAGTGCTTGCCAGCAAGTTTGGTGACCTGGGTTCAATCCCCAGAGGGACCCACCCGGTAGAAGAAGAGAACCAAGTTGTCTTCCGACCTCCACACACGCACCATGGCACATGGCACTCCACTCACCCCCGACTACATACAACTAATACAGAACCAGACAAGGGACTGGACGGCTCAGTAGGTAAGAGAGCTTGCTTCAGGGGAAGGACCCGAGCCTGGCTCCCTAGCATTAAGGGGGATGAAGATAAAATGACTGCCGTTGCTCGGCCTCGTTCCAGCAGAGTCCCAACTTCAAAGGTTGAAGGCATAGCACAGGGCACCTGGCAGTCCTCCTCTGGCCTTCCTGTTTCTGCATGGGCACGCACACTCACACCCACACACCGAAGAGTCAGGTGGAAAGGCTGGCATTGGAGTGCAGTGGCAGGACACTAGGTTCCACTCTTAATATGGAGGGAAAGAAAATGTGGGTGGGGAGTTTTCACATAATTGACAAATCACACCTCACAGGCTCAAAGGGCTAAGACAGGATCTCCAGGGTCAGCACTAGATCGACTGGAGGAATATGATCTATATTCTCCAAGGACTGGCTGTCAGTAACACACTGGGATCATTGTCAACTTTTGGGCTGGACACCTGACTCTCTGTGATCTAGGAAGGATGTGGTAATCCTTTACCTGTAGCACCCCAGGAACTAGCTCTCTCTCTCTCTGGAACCTCAGCATCTACCTCTCTTTTCCTTTCCTCCCATCTTGGCCCGGATGACAGCCAGCACAGGATGAAACACACACATCAGCTAACCTGGCGGAGTAACAGGTAGGTAGGGCAGCGGCAGTCTCAGGAAGGCTTTCCTCTTACTGTGTGGGAAACAAACCAAGTAGCATAGAAGCATGACTTGCTTTACACAGTCGACTGGAGCCCTGCTGGGATCTGTAAAAGGGACAAAAAACTCAGTTATGAAGTCACTCTTCCTGATATTTGAGGAAATGAACTTCCTATAAAAAAAACAATCAGTCTCAAGTCAAGTACTTATTTCAGACCTACTTTCTTCAAAGGGCAACGTTAAGAGGGTAGGATATCTAGACTCTCCGCTGGAGCTAACCTAAAGAGGTGATTTAGAAGCTGGTTTATCCTTAAAAGGAAATGCACACATAGGTATGATGATCCTTGACGGTCTTTCTTGAGGCTTGTTCCTAGGTGGTTCTGTACTTTGAGGCTCCTAGACAGTGATGGAGATTAGGGGATCCAGCTAGGGGCAACTTCAGGGACTAGTGTTCGTTCGGCTGCCAGCCCTGGGGCAGTGACAGACAGGATCAGGAGAGCGCCTGCGCAGTTCTCAACAGGGGTCTCAATTCATCAATAAAACCCAGACAGGCGGAGGCTGTGGGGACTTGGGGACAGAAACTTTCTCATTGCTTGTAAGGGGAAAGTGGAGGAAAGCAATGAATTGCCTCCGAGGTTTCAGCGAATCCATCGCAGAACTGGCACCAGGACCCAGGTCTTCTCTGCCTCCCAGGCGGGATCTCTCTCAGACTTGCAACTTTCAGCCTTGTGTGTCCCCGCGGCGACCATTTCCATCCCACATCGTCCCCTTCACCCTCATCTCCCTCACCCCAGCCCTGGCTCACCGGACGCGTCCCCAGCGTTCCGGTAGGGATCCCACATCCCCTGCGGGGCCTCATCGCGCAGGCGCACAGCGCCTCCTGCCCCGTGCTAGAACTACATTTCCCAGCAGGCAATGGAAATCCCGCGCCTCAAACATCATATGAAGGGCCAGGATGGACAAACTTCATCAGTTTTGCGAGGGCATTGGTCAAAGTTTCTGGACCCTCCTTTGGTGTTCTTCCAACAACAAACTAGTGGGGCGGAGCTTCAGTCATAAAAACCGAACTCAGACGGAAAGGACGCTTTCTTCCGAGCCCACGAAGCGAGATGTGGGTCGCCGCACTGCTGCTGGCCGCGCTGCTGCTGGCGGTCCTCCGCAGAGTTTACGTGGGTCTCTTCGGCGGAAGCTCCCCGAACCCCTTCGCCCAGGATGTCAAGCGGCCACCTGAACCCCTGGTGACCGACAAGGAGGCCAGGAAGAAGGTTCTCAAACAAGGTCAGCTGGAGGGACTGTGGGTTCCAGGACTGCTCTCTGGCCTTCTGCTCACGCAGGGCACGGACCTCTGTCTACCCATTTAAAAAAAAAAAAGTATTGGGAAAACTCACTTGCACACGGAGGCTCCACATCTCAGTGTTCTTTGCTCCTGAAGGTTTGGGTGCAGGCATTAATTACCCTTGCCACGCCAAGATGTTGGCATAACTTTAGTCCCAGCTCGTCCGGTTGGAATCTGTTCCGCTAACAGCTCACACAAAATAAGACACCTTTCCCCTACTTGGTTCTAGAACCAACTTTTTCCTATGCTCCTGTGCAAGCTCGGGGGTATTGGAGAGCAGCACAGAAAATTTTCCCAGCAAGCGGCTTGACAGGAAAAGCGTAGTAGTCTCAGTTAATAGGATTGAAACTTGACTATAAAACTTCAGGGTTTCACTACTGCTTCGGGATGACAGGAAAAGTGTAGTAGTCTCAGTTAATAGGTTTGAAACTTGACTATAAAACTTAAGAGTTTCACTACTGCTTCGGATTAAGAATCTTACTCTCCAGTCGCATTTAATCCTAGCACTCGGGAGGCACAGGCAGGCGGATCTCTGTGAGTTCGAGGCCAGTTGTCGTCTACAAAGCGAGATGCAGGAAAGGCTCAAAGCTACACAGAGAAACCCTGTCTCGAAACCCGCCCCTCAAAAAAAAAAAAAAACCAACAACAACAACAAAAACCAACAATAAACAAACCACGTGTAGAGTTGCTTCCAAGGTTTTTGGTTTTTGTGTGTTTTTGAGACAGGTCTCCCTTTTGCACCAGAGCTGGCTTCAAACTCACTACGAAGCCCAGGGTCAGGCTCGGGGCAGTCCTTTGGCTTTTGCCTACAGGATAATGGGATCACAAGCATGCATCAACATGCCTGGCCATCAAGGTTTTAAGGAAATGTTGGAGCTGGGAAAAGTGGTATAACTTTTTAATTCCAGCATGGACTATACAGTGAGACCTGTCTCTACAAACACCAAAACAACCAAAACCCTCAAATGTAAAACCTTAAAAAAAACAAACAAGGATCTCTTGTTTGACCTCCAGGGGCCTCTTGCTTGTAAATTTTAGCCTAGGCCAGCCTAAACTCACTACTGGGGACTGACCTTGAAGTCCTGGTCCTTGTGTGTCTACTTCCTAAGGCATACCACACCCAGTTATTTTATTGTTACTGTTTGTGTATTTGGGGAGGGGTGAATATCTTATACTTGTATTCCAGGCTACCTTAGAACTTGTTATGTTGGCCAAGCGTACCTCAAACTCACAGTGATTCTCTTGCCATCAGCAAGATTACAGACAGTGGAATTACAGATATAAACCACCATGGCTTGAGCAGTGATTTTTTTTTTTTTTTTGAGACAGTGTCTCTCTGTAGTCCTGGCTGTCTTGGAACTTGCTATATAGACCAGGCTGGCCTTGAATTCACTGAGATTCTTCTTCCT